TGGCATTATATATCGATGAAAAGTATGCATAAATTTATGATACGTGTTCTTGATACACCCCAAAATTTGGATACATTGTGGCAAAGTCACGTTTTCCAATACCCGAAAAACTATCCGATATATTATACTATGACTATATTAATATGCGAACATAATAGATATCAAAGCTTTTGTGAGATATTTTTAAGTAGAGGATGGTTTGCAATATACCATTTAGCAGCTCGGCCAAAAGAAACTGAAGCAGTATTATGGTCGTTGTTGTAAATGATTTGATTTTCGTACGAAGACATTTTTGTAGCAATAATTACGCAAGGTAATGTTGAATTTAGAACGACTTAATTCTTGTTGCGAAACGCGACATTATTTATGTTTGTCGATTATTAATATAAGTTTCTTTGCAACACAGGATGCGACACAGTTGGCAATAAATATTATTGTTCTGTTTTTATAATTTCTATCATTCTCTTTGTAATACGGAACGCGAGGTAATTAAGCGCGACGGCAATTTATCCAAGTATTAATGCTAAACAGTTAGTGAGTCAAAAATACTGCACAATCATTTGCATCAACTTGGTTGTGTTTTACATAAGCAAGCTGACCGAGAATAAAATCAGTTATAACAAAACAGCTTTATTACAGTAATAATCTTTTGCATGGCATGGTAAATATAACGACAAGGGCGGTTTACGCGTTTATTAACAGTAATTGTGTCACTCACATGACTGGAAATTTTCTGGGTATTGGTAAAGACGTGACTTTACCGCAAATGCATCAAAAACGAAAACAAAATTTGGGGTACTTATACAAATCGCACTATTGCGGGACACTAAGATCAACCTGATGAAAATGCTAAACTTTGAAAAAGCACATCTAGAGACACGTTTAAAGCAAACTAACACAATTTATTCGCGTTATAGCATGAGTAAACAAGCTTATCGCACAGCCATTTGGTTGTTACAATTGCGGATTCGTACTTTTATTATTAAACGGAAACACATAATTTATATATTTATCAAAAAAGAGCAATTTTTCCCTCTTTATTTTGAGGATAGTGCGGCGACACCAGGAAGTTCCTTGCCTATTAGTGGACAACGTTATATAAATTAGTACACATACACTTTAGCGATTACAATAGCTCTATTGATCTTACCTTCTAATAGTTCTAGACTAGCACCGCCGCCAGTAGAGACATGGGAAATCTTGTCTTCTGCATGCCACATGGCGACAGCAGTAGCCGTATCACCTCCGCCAACTATTGTAGTAGCACCTTTCTCTGTAGCCTCGATTACTGCATCAAGGGCTGATTTGGTTCCTTTTGCGAATTTATCAAATTCGAAGACACCGGTCGGACTAAGACATTGTTAACGTAATAAATTAACTAAGATTAGGATAAAATAAATAAACGTTTTCAAATGACATGGATTGCAATTCATACCCATTCCATAGAATAGTCTTTGATTCAAGGATAGTTTCTCTGAAAAGAGCATCAGATTTCTCACCACAGTCAAGTCCTAACCAACCATCGGGGATCCCCGTCTCATCTGTCGCATAGCCAACCTGTGATATATTAGC